ATTGTCGTTTTTATTTAGAAAAGGACAATTTATTTTTTATTTTATAATTTATTAAATTGATAAATAATAGTGAACTTACCTCGGCTAGATAATTAATTTTTAATTTATTTAATTTATCCATTTTTAGAGCAATGAGAATTATCTTCATCTCAGGGTAGTTCCTATGTTTTGGGCCCAAATTTTTATAAAGAATAATTTCTTATTATATTATGTTAATACATTTTTTATGTAGAATGTTTCTACGTAAGTTGGCTACACATGGAAAACTTTTTATTATTAGTTTTATCAAAAAAAATGTGTTCAGCATAAAAAGTTGTGCATTGGTCTAAAACCTAAAATGCAACCATCAGATATCACATTTTTGAGCCGTATATGAATTTCGTCAAAAAATAAAAATTTTTCTCAAGAATAAAGTACCTTTATTTTTAACAAACCTTGTATACGACTAATAAAATTTGAAATCAGATATTTGAATTTTAGGTTTTAGGTCATGAAAACTTTTATATAGAATAACTTTTTTAACTTTAATCCATATTATAATGGGTTGATTAGATTAGTTGGAGCATCTGGGGGGTACTTCCCATACAGCATACATTATTTCAAAAATGTTTCAGACGTTTTCCAAACGTTTAAAGCACAAGTTTTTAAAATATTTTAGTTAAATATTTCACTGAAAATGTTTTATAAATGTTTCATAAATGTTACACAAAAGGTTACAAAATGGGTTATGTTGTAAATGGCCAAGATTTGAAAAATTTCTCACTTGTAAAAAAAGGAAGAAGACGGGTTACGTAAGTAGTCGTTTTATTTTAAATAATATAATTTTATTTCAGCCTATATCCAGACATAATCCTTTATTCTAGATTTCTGAAATATTAGTATGTTATATGGGTTTTAAATTATTATTTCTGAAATATTACTATAAAATATTACATTTACAGGATAAATTTACATTTTAGGAACATTTCAGAAATGTTTCTGGGACGTTTCGTAATATTTATACAACATTACAAATATTTCAGTATTGCATTTTTGAAATATGTTCTAAATGTTTTTGTGCTGTATGAGTTTATAGAGTTATTTTTTTAGTTTAAGAAATGTATCTGTAATTTACGCTTGCCAAAGAAGATTGTTTGAATAAAAGTTGCTTGTTATATTATTCTCTATAATTTTTATCATATTCATGATTTCCTTAAAATGGTCCGGATTCGAGAAATTTTACAAAAAGTGCAAAAGTTCAAAAATACTTCTTACTAATACCAATTCTACAAGGAATTCAACACATAAAGAGCCTCCTACTCCGAGTAACACATACTATTTTTTTCTCAAACGTCAACATTTAAAGTAAAACTAATATGATATCGTTAGTCAGACTATATAAATATTATTGACAAAAAATGACAGCTTTAAGTTTGAAAAATTACATTTGGTCTTGTCCAGTCTAAGCAAAAAAGTAATGCATAATATACTTATATCATGGTATAAATATAATACAAGGATATTATTTATTATTATAATAGTTATAAAATTAACATTACAAAAAGATTACGTTTGGAATTTATAAAACTAAGAGAAAACTTGTGTGCATGACAAAAAACACAACTGTTAAAGGTAACTTATTCGAATTCAAATAAAATTTCGCGCGCTTGTCATTTGTCACAATACGTAGGCGAATTGTGTTAGCTTGGGTAAGGCTTGGGTATTTTTCGCTTTTTAAATTGTTTTAGATAATAAGTATATTAATTAGCATTACTAACGAACCATCGAGAAAAATCCTAATAGGAATTTCCTATGAAATTTAAATGTTTTGTGTTGGTACTTTAGCCACTTTCACAGAATGACATTTAATATTTGATATTTTCAATGTAATTCACGGTGCTTGGGAACCAACTTAAAATGAAAAGTTTATTTACTAGACTTTTTTTTCGGTCAAAGTATTTCTGAAGGGCTATAGATTGGCGCAATATATGTTTTAAAATCGGTTTCAGCCGCCGTTTTTGAGAAAACTCGATTTTTAATGAAAAAGTGACCTTTTTTTTTACTTTTTTGCTTGTAACTTGCGCATTTTACATTTTCTCGGCTTGCCAAATGTAAATTTCAATGGAAAAATGTCCGCTCTACAAAAAAGCATCAATGAATTTTTTCTCTAAAATCAGCCGATTTTGAGTTAAATGAGATCTCATTTGTTATGCTTTTCGCCATAAGAAAGCCGTAATACTATTTTTAATCTGTGTTCGAATATTTTCTGAAAAGAAATTCAGTGGGTATGTAAGGTTACCATTCATTTATGTATGTACACTGTTCGTTTAGTTATAATACATAATAATACCTAATTAAAATTGGGGGACCGTTTTTAAAATTTTATCGCGCTTGAGTAGCAAAGCTGTCACGCAATGTCAGTTCGCGGAAAACGACAATTTTGCTGTGACATTATTTGTAAAATCGAGCCATATTCCTACTATGCTCACATAGCTATATTTAGGTACCTATACCTATGTACCTATAATAATTTCTAAAAGAGTTCACTCGACAATCGACATATACCTGCACACTTGCGTTCTACTCCTAATAAAAATCAGATTGCATTTAAGTAAGGAAATATGAAAATCGAAACCAAAAAGAAACAAGGCATGCGCCCATAAAATTTATTTTACGATTAAAATATTAGCTATTGAATAACTTACTGAACCAATAAGTATTTATATTACAGGTTTCTCTTTTTAACGAGTACCCGAGCCGGTAGACCACCAACAATTTCATTGCTCGCGTATATATCTACCTATTTATTATACCTAGTTCGTCCAAATGATCATTGGCTAGACTAGATCAGTTTAATTGCTTTGTTTGTTTTGTTGGTCGCTCTCTTTTTTCGATCACCTCGAGTGTGAAGGAAGAATGATTATTTGCGGTTCCGCATTACGAGTTTAATAGGTAGAGGCCAAAATGGCCGACGCAATGGCGTAAACTGCGTAATATGTATAAATAATGCATTTTAACCTTTAAATCTATTCAATAATAATTACTTAATCTTTAGTTTCCGTGTTTAAAGGTTATATAAAATTGGTACCTATCTTTTTCGAAAATAATACTAGCCTATAGGTACCTATTTAAATATGTAGTTCTACAATGTCTTCAACAGTAGGTACCCGTATCCCACGTCGCTAAATTGATGCCATCAGTTGACTAAAAGTAACATTAATAACTTCAGTAGTAACCCTAAAATAATGTCACTGATCTATTTGAAATAACTGATACTTAAGTTTTCATGAAAGTCACTTAAGAACAGCCATTTTTATTAAATTTCTTGTTGTACTAAATCACGTGGGCAACAGGTATTGTTGAAGACTCGTTACAATGCAAATTATTGTTCTGATATTCTGATGTCTAAACCAGCCATTATTATTATTCCAAAATTATTAAATCTGTATTCAGTAACGACGAACATTCAGTAAATTGGGAGATAATTTAACTACCATTTATACTGATGGATCAAAGAATGGTTTAGATAATGGCTGTGCATTTCTTGTTTTAGACACTAGAAACATTTAAATTGCCCTGCTTTTGTTCTATATTCACAGTTGAAGCAGTTGCGATTCTAAAAGTCTGCAAAGCAAGCTTCATTTCAGAATGTAGTTATAGTGGCTGATTCCTAATCGCAGTTCTGCAGGCTATTGTTAGCCATTTTATAAGTCAATAATCACTATAATATTATCTATTGTGTGTAGTACTAAAGTTTCCTTGGTTTGGGTTAAGTCACATTGCGATATTGCAGGAGATTAATCTATGGACAGAGCTGTTAAAAATACACGTAGTTTAGAACAAATAGCAACATTTGGAAAATTAAATACATTGAGCATGCGAAGGCATCAAAAAGTCTTGAATAAACATCCAAATCTCCCTAACGATATTCCACATATCAACTCATAGAATCTATATATAAATAGGCAAAGACAAAATGGTTCAGTACCATTTTCTCTTCTGTTTGTGAACCAATTATTTTTTGAAATTAGACCAGATAGTAGCACACTTTTGGGTCCTGTAGATTTTCGATCAACCCCCCCCCCACCTCTACTCCCTCCACCCACGATTGCATAGAGGACCAAACTGTAAGATGCGTAATCCGATTTTCGTTACTACCTTCCTCTCCCACAAAAAAGTTGACAATTGATTTTAAAACGGATATTAATGATTGGACATTATATTATCTGGACGTTCTTTGGGAGGGACCATTATATCGTAAATATAATATAAGAAGAAGAAATGTCAAGAAGATGAAAGTGCTCATTAATAAGAATCGGTTTAGCAAAAATCTGTGACAAAAATGTGTTTCATATCAATAAATGAGTGTTTTTAAATTGTGAGTTACTGTTATTTTATTGAAATTATTTTTTATTTAATTATAACGGTACTGAACTATATTGTATTGTAGGTACATATAAAAGTTTATGATTTCAGATATGCAATGAACGAATGTTTAAGAATAAAAAAGATTATGTTAGAAACATACAAATGCATATGCATGTTTTCCTCAAATTTTCAATAACGATTATTGTCGAATTTCGACCATTGGGCGAACACTAGTTATAATAAATATCAGTCATCCATAATTAATCGTTTAAAACTTAACCGTAGCCTATTCTCTGTACATTTATATAAAATTGGAATTTTGGATTCTCTCATGTGTCTACACTGCAATGTAAACGCTACAGCAGATATTAATCTCATTTATTCTTAGAATTCAATATAAATATCGCATATTTAGATTTAAACGAGGATTTAAATAAACTTTCCCCCCACTAGTCCTACTTCCGCTCAATATATCTTCACTTTTAGACTTTTAGTTTAATAAACGTACTCGAAGTACTAAAATATATATTTAAAACAATATGCGTGAATATTAACAAGTTTAAACTATCTGTGGTAAATAGACCTGCATGTCTGACGCCATCCACCCATAAAAGAAAGAAAAAAATCTCTACGATCAATTCAATTTGTTTCAGATAAATCAACCGACAACGAAGGTGGTTCGGACTGTGAAAGTGAACCGGGGATTCCCTTGAAGAGAAAACAGCGTCGCTCCAGAACCACTTTTACGGCACACCAGCTTGACGAACTGGAAAAAGCTTTCGAAAGAACGCAATATCCGGATATTTACACCAGAGAAGAATTGGCTCAAAGGACCAAGCTTACCGAAGCCAGAATACAGGTAAAAACTGAATTTACTGAATAATATTATGATTATGTCCCAGATGTGACATTTTACATACTATAGACGTACTGATTAGTTTTATTGTATAGTCTTGCGCGTATTAATGTAAATACAAGTGATGATTTAAAGAAATAATTTATTGGTCACAAAAAACAAAAAGAAAGAAAATAAAGTTAAATTGTTTTAATAGGAAATATATCCTCCCTTTGCTTTTATAACGTAATGTGTTGAAATTATCATGTGAAAAATTATAGAATTGTGTATAATTTCGTTTTTAGAAATACGGAGCGAATCCATATAAATTTGTTTGTATTTCGGGTACTAGCGTCATATAAACTTATTATAGTTAATGTTAATATAGAGTTACATACCTAAATAAATAAGTAGTTTTCTCCCGATACGGAGTCATCATCATCAGTTTCCTCACTTCCCACAGAAATAATAATTGGTTCTATTGTTTTCTTTATTAACATATCAAGTTTCCAGAATTTCTCTTCCTTTGCTATGACATGTCTTATAGCGTTTTACCAATTGTCCGGTGAAATTTTTGATATGGAGTCACATAATAGTTGACGAACATCTTGAAGTTTAAATGTTGTATTGTTTCTCGCGACATATTCCTTAATTTGAGCCCAGATTAGTTCAATGAGGTTAAGTTCACAGTGATAAGGTAGTAACACTTTAACTCCATGTTCTTTTACTATTTCATATACACTATACTTCTTAAATTTTGGTGAATGTTGTTTACATAACTGCAATAGCTCTATTTTGAGTAATCCCCCTTCTGCCACTATTTTTTTGGTTATTAGCCAATCGCAGAGTTCTTGCTTTTTCCATTTAGTGTTAGGTAACGGTTCCATTAATCTTAAATGGTAACTATTACAGAATTGGTCGGTAATAAATCTATCATTTGATTGAAATATTTCCCAAAAATATCAGCAGTCATTTCTTCATGGTAGTCTTTCGTAGAATTTGAAACAAATTCTAATAAGCCTCTATCAACAAATCCTTTATCTTCACCAATATGAGTGATAATTAAACGGCGACCTTTACCATTTGGAAATTTTAAGCCAGTAGACAAACCTTCTATTCGCTCCGTGCGAAGTCATGGAAAGGGAAGCAAAAGCGATACTAGCGCTAGCTGCGGATAATTCGTGCATTTTAAAGCGATATTTTGTAATTTTCGCATATCAAATACACGTATACATTTTACTTTTTTTCAAAAAAGTAGGTAAAAATAACACAATAAGCAATCGGAGTTGCTGTATTGAAAATTGTACAAATACTAGCAAAAAAAAAACAGTGAAACTTATATAAAAAATTTCACTAGCAAAGTGGAAATTAAATCAAAGAAATAAATGGATAGATGTTCAAAAGGAAGAAAAATTACCTTTATTTTTGTGATAATAACAGTAATGCTAAAAATAGTAGACATCAGAAACTTGAAAGGTTTTAAATAAACAATAAATTATCATTTTACGATGTTCTTTAATATCCCTTTATTCTTAAATGTTCATTCAGCAAGGACTAGATTTCAAGATTACTGCCTTTGATTAAGATGTGGCTGGAATGCAATTTTGTGACTTACTGATGGGAAACCAGTTTTAATCATTCATTCTACGTTTTCTTTCGAACAAAATTGAAAATATAAATAATGATCCTTTTCTATACTTTTTAACTTCACGCTATTATTAAATGGTATTTTTTTATTTTGACAGATTAGGCTAATTCTTCAATGACAACTTATTAGACTTAGGCAACTTCTCATACATTTTCCAGTAAATACTGTTGCCTGCCTATATTTTATTATTGATTTTTATCGATTATACATAATTTTCTTTAATTTAAGCGGGAAAAATATATAATAATAATAAATTTATGTTTTGCTTATTTTACAAATCCATATACTTTTATTAAAACTAACATATATACTTTTTATAGAAATAGTCCTTTAATACCAAAACAAATTGGCGCTGCTGTCGCGCACGGAGCGAATAAATGCCTGATGAGCTTTTGTAACCTGTTTATCTTGCTAAACTTTTTTCACAAAATGTCCTTCATTTATCCATGTTTCATCCAAAAAAAAATATTTTTGTTTTCTCTTCTTAATTTTTATTTGTCTCTTCCAACAAATAATTTAATCTTTCTCTATGAGCGCAGGTTTTCTATCGTTCTTCTCGCAAACGAAGTCTAATTCATGTAAAGTTTTCCACAATTTGTCTCTTTTAACGTTTGGCAAAGTTTTGTCTCCATTAATATCTACTAAAAGATTATCCAAAGTAGGTATCTTTTTTTGTAAATAAAATGGATGTCCTTTTTTTTCTCCATTTATCTTAAACGCGTGAGGGTCGGTTTGTTTTTAACAAGTTCTGTTAAACATTAATTTTTTTAACAGGTAATTTAAAAATCAACCTATATAATAGACCGTCATAATTAAAAAAGAAAAGTATAATTGCGACAGAAATTACATAAATTCACAAAAGAAACGAAAAGGTTTTGTTGCCCTAACCTCAACGCCACGAATAATTGTGAATGTTAGTATTGTATCAAACTATTCAAGAAATGTTATGCGATATTTTGTAATTTTGGCGTATGAAGTTTAAATGTATATTTTACTTATTTTTAAAATAGTTAAAAGCAATACAATGAGCAACCAGTGTTGCTGTGTTGTAAATACTAGCAAAAAATAGTGTAAGTTTTATAAATTTAAGGAATTACAAACCTTAATTTTTGTAACTATCTAGTACCTATTGACAATAGTAGACATCAGAAAACTGAAAGGTTTTATATACTTAAATTAGGTATTATTATTTTACGATGTTCTTCAAAATTCCTTAAGTACATGTTCAGAAAGGATATACTCGTACATATATCTGTCTTTAATTATTGTCTGTTTGCGGTTAATCTGTGTCTGTAATGCAATTTTGAGACTGATTGATTGGAAAACAGTTATTTAATAATTCATTCATGTTTTTTTTTTCAAACTAAAAATGAAGAAAACAAGTATAAATTACATTCGAAAATACTACAACTATTTTGTTTGTAAATAAATTTTGAATCCACGTTTGATATTAACCTTTTTAACATTAGTTACTAAAGGAAGTTATAATTCTTGCACCTTAATTTATAGTTTTTCTGTAGTTCTTGGGTTTTAGGTGCCTGTAGATAAAATATGTTAGTTATAGCTTTCGGCACTGATCAGTGCCTTCTTTAGTAGTTTTTATTAAGCATTTTTTTTTCTTCTTTTAATTAAACATTGTTTTTTTATAAAAGTTAACGCTATACGAATTATTTTTGTACAGAATTGGGAACTCTCTTTTAAAATAAACTAAAACATTTTTTTTTATTTTTCCTATATGTAATCTTAGTCACGTCCGTTATTATTATTTAAATTTTTGTTGGTTTTATGATCATACACTAAAACGGATCAATACACTTTTATTAAAACTAAAAAATACATTTCTTTTAATTACGAATTCTATAAAAAATGATACTGTCAATACACGCAAAATCGCCCTTCAGTTCATATTTTAGTTAATGTTGTTAACTTTTAGTGAAATTTTTTAGTAAAAATATTTTAGTAAATTTATTAAATTTTTCAAGACATTTCACCACATGTTTCTCCTTATCCACTAGGTGCGTCAGAGATGAAGTAATTTTGACTTCGAAACCGGTCCCAATAGTAAATACTTATCATTTTGGGATGTGAATGATTTTTTTAGGATTTTTTTTGCCCAAGTTACTTATATAGTAACTGGTCGTTAGTTGAAATTATACGGCATTTATCGAAGACAGTTTTCTAATTGAAAAATTAATTCCGAATTACCATCTAGATGTTATTTTTTTACAGGTTTGGTTTAGTAATAGAAGAGCAAGATTAAGAAAACAGTTATCATCGTCATCTTCATCGTCTTACACACCCCTAGGTGTTGTAGGTGGGCCTTACAGTGCCCCCACTACTCCGTATGGACAAGGCTTAGGAGACGGCACCTTCCCTAGTTCTGCTGCTACGGCTTCCAGTTCTAACCAAAGTAAGTAATTATTTAACACTATCTAAGAAAAAATCGATTCGCAAATACACAATATACCTCCCAATTATATAAAAGAATGGTAGACTAAAAATCCTGTTTGTTGCAGTGACTGATCTCTACCCCAACCACTCGGGTCACTCGACATCGCCGAATCTCCCAATCTCAGAGGTCAAATGGGAACATTCAATCCCGCACCACCACAACCCCTACAGCTCCTCCCATCCTATCTATTCGTCTTCTAACTTGATGCCCATTTCCCAAACTCTAACCCCGTCCATAAGTTTGCCTTCCAACGTTCAACCTAGCACATCACCTAGTATGGCCACCAATACGCTCCAGAGTTTACCCCAACAGACCGAAATGGGCGAATACAAGGATTATAAGGATGGAAGTGATAATAATAACGTGCATCATTCATCCAGTCCTAGTTTGAGTCAGCAATATGCTAATATGGCGCCGAATTCGGCCGGGATCGTTACTATGTTGGGACCGAATAGTGGTAAGTTTTAAAAAGATATTTATCTTTTTTTATGATTTTATAATACGTAATATTTGTGTATGTGTTTTAATAATTGATTTCTTCTCCAAAATAACTTGCAAAATAATCTTTTTCTTTCCAAGAGATTACACCATTATTAAAGAATATTTTATTGCCACAAAATATAAAGACAAATTGTTTTATAGGAATAAAGACAATATTAGTACTACTAAAATCAATAATGGTAGGTAGTTTATGAGAGAAAACAAATCCCCAGTAACTTGTTGATCGACAAATTATATTTCATTTTGTGGTCTTATTGTCTGTCTATAATGAGACGCCAATGGTTTCAAATTGAGTTCATTTTCATTAGCAGGCCATTAGATAACATCTAATTAAGTCAAAAATGACTAAAACTGATACTAGGGCAACCACATTCAATGAAGCAGTTGATTTCTCGAAACAAAAAAAAAACAAAAAAAAATTGAAAACATTATACAACGTCTGAGTTACGTCCATCATGAATGGGCAGCTGAGTAATAAAAAAAGGTCTGTCCATCCAGCCGAGAACCATGGCCACCAGACCGTAACATATAATTAAAATAAGGATTTTTCTTATTGGTATTGCAACATCCTTAAAGTAGACTTTCACTTACAAACCGTACCTATTTTAGCGGATTTTCGGTTTTGATGAAAATAAGAGTTAACATTTTTTTGCAAAATTGGGAAAGTGATATTTTGGAAAAAATTCTTACCGAAAAACAGGAATATTTATGTACAACTTACCTTTGAAGCAAAATTAAAGACTTGAAAATACCTAATGAAGTATAATTACCCAAGCACGGTTCCAGGCCCCCTGTATCCCCCGTGATTAAAAAATTCTTACAATCCATGAGCCTTTTATTAAAAAAAATATGCTAAAGTGGAAATAGCTAATGGCAATGCCCCCTCCCCTGGTACCATCTTTGTAAGTAACTAAATTCACTCATCTTGTGCTTTCTTTTAAACTATTGTTATTGTTACTGATTTGGTAACATTCTAAAAGTTACAATGGGTTAAATTAAAGAAGAGTGGCCCACCGATATTTATAAACTGTTCACGGAATTAGTCGATACACCTAATTTCAACTGTTGTAATAGTAATTCCAGAACTTTTAACGTAATCACATTTAGAAGTTTTCTTCGATATCTCGTAACAACAGGTATTGAATTATATCGAAAGAAAAGACAGCAGAGATATAAATTTAATTTCAACCATATATCTTTGATTTTGCTTACTAGGAAAAACGTCATTCTTGGACAGGTTTCGTCCTTATTAGGACTCGTCTCAACAAGAAATAGATAGATTCTCAATTCCAGTCTCTAATGAAATTAACAGACACCAAATTCACCAATATACAATAAATGTTACGAAGAGAATAAGTATTCAAGAAGTACAATTAATAACGAGATCTGTTCCTAGTAAGCAAAATCAAAGGCAGTACCTAATTAGAAAACTATGTGGAACTTATCTATTTCTTGCTGAAGAGTCCTAATAAGGACGAAACGGTCAAAGAATGACGTTCTCTTTATAGTAAGCAAAATCAAATGTATAGTGTTGAAATTAACTTTCTATCACTGGTGTTTTTCTTTAAATTTAATTCAATACCCGTTGCGGTATTAGCCAAATGAGTAGTTTTTTCTGAATGAAAAGGATCGCTCGTATTTTGTGTGACATATGGCTTTGAGTTTTATTTATATTATAATTCGAACTTTTTGAAAATACCCCTGTAACTTTTTTTCTAAACGAAAAAATACAAAACTGTCAAATACATTCCGAGATATCGACCAAAACTTCTAAATGTGATTACGATGAAAGTTCTAGAATTACAACAGGTGCAGACAGTTAAAATTTCACATTTTTACATTGTAGTCTTTCATACCCTGTATAACCCTCAAAAGTGACTTTTTACTGAAGATCACATAAAGCCATTAATACAAGAAAAAATAAACTTTCAGAATGGTCATTTTTAAAAATCAGATAAGGCGTTATCCCAGATACAGTCTTCTACAAATTAAATGATGATAAAATTAAGTGTATCGACGTGAGTAGTTTATTTTCTTTTTCTCATAGGCTCATCTGACTTAGTCATATTTTAGCCATATTTTAGCTAAAGATATAAAGAAATACAAAGAAGATAAAGATAGTTAATTATGAATATGTTAAGAGTGAGATTATGGGTCCTTTTGACTGGCCCTAAAGTCCACTCTTAGCGGTAACCACGGGTTATATATAGGGGCCCAATTCGTATTTAAATTGGCCTCTAGATAACACACGGCTAGGGGGTTAAGTTCAGACGGGAAGACCTAAGGAACCCTAACTTGAAAGATTGAAACAACAAGCGTAAAACAAATAACTATGGTTTATTTAACAAATATATAAATATAGCACTTCAATAATCTTTGCTAACTACACAATTAAATATTACTCCTTAAAAGTATCTACTTACATTAACATTGTTATCCGTTGGGCAGCAGGACTGGCTAAAGGCACACGTTACTTTTTCCACTACGTGGTTTTACACAAAATAAAACTAACCGCGATTTCGTGTGACCGACCCGAAATTTACTTAGTGCCAAAAACTGGACACGACCGATCGCCAACAAAAACCCCAAAGGAACTCCCAGAAAATTCACTTGTAATTTTCCAAGAATGCTCGTGTGATCTATGTTTTGGTCCGCTAATGTCACGTCTTCCTCATCGGTTTCCGTATAAAGTATTAAAACTTCTTCCATATCTTCGGAGTTTTCGTACCAACCCATTGTGGTACCCTTGTGCAATTTCTTATCCACATTGTTGAAATTTGTGACCATTATCTGTAACATTTCTTTTTCTTCCATTACTTGACGACAAACGAGACCTCGTTTAATAAAAAATTGCTCCTTAATCACAAATTTTCCCTGCTTTCTCGGATGTAGGTTTATGACCACATCTTCCCAGGGTTTCAGTACCATATCTTCCTTTAAATCCACTTTTTCTGGCTTGTTCTCAATAAATGGTTCCGTATCTCCAAAAGGAAAGGTTTCTTTCATCACCATAATCTCCTTTTTAACATAAGGATCGGTTTCACCGTTGCTTTTGTCTTCCTTTGCCAACATTATCATCTGAGTCTCTTCCTCTGAGTTTCTATATACCATCACGTCCTCAGCTTCTCGATGAACCATAGCTTCCACGGTTATCTGACTCGGAACACCAGTTTCGTCATCCGAATCCTTCCCATCTTCATCTATTCTTTGAAATTGTATTTCCTTAATCTCCTCTTCGGTATTCTGTCCTTTTTGTCCATCGTTGTTTCCATTTACCACGCTGTTTCCCATGTCTCTCATCTCCTTCACTTTTCTATCTTCTTTTCCGGTACTGTTTCTTTTCCTATCCGTTTTCTCATCCTTGTTGGCACTCACTAGTGCCTGGAGCGTTGTTTTAATGCCCATCAGGCACTCGTCTATGTACAGTTGCTTGTAGTCCCTTCCTTTTTCTTTTGATAATGGTACGACTTGACAACTGAGGTTCTCTGTAGATGGCTTATTTCCTAAAATAGGCACCTTTACTTCCGATCCATTCACCTTAAAGGTGACATGGTTCCTTACTATATCTATTATGGATTGGTGCTTCCTCAGGAAGTCCATTCCCAAGATAAGGGATATCGGTAGTTTTTCAACCACTAAGGCCTTTACCGTGGTTGTTATACCTCCAATGACAACTACTACGTCGCTTTCACCCTTAGTGAAAACCCGAGTGTTGCCCACCGCCAGCAAAGGGCGGCTACCCCTTGTGTCGATGTTGTTTTCTGAACCTGCTTTGATGATGTTACAGGCTGAGCCTGTGTCCACAATAGCGCGTGACAGGGTTCCATTTACCAGTAGTTGTATGGTAAGAACGCCACTGTGGCCTGACGACTGCCCCTGTCGCGTAGTCAAGGCGAGACGAGGGGTTACTCGCCTCGCCTGTTCCCGTTTGGGTGACTCCGTCGTGGTCCAACCGGTTTTTGAAAACAAGTGGCTGCAAAGTGACCTGGTCTGTTACAATTGTAACACCGAGGTCTGCCATCATGGGTTCTTGTAGCCGGGGCATATGAGGACGCACCTCTATGCCTATTTCCTCCTCTGGGATTACTTGGTTCAGGCTGCCTGTACTCCTTTTTCGGGGGTCTTGAATTTGACCACCGAGCTCTGCCAGAGGGTTGTCCTCTGTTAGCACCGTTCCTACCATCAGGTGGTGTGGGACTATAGTTTGAGTGACCAGGCGGGGACGCTCCCTGTTCCCTCGTATAAAGGGTCAGGTCCCTAAAACTAGAAGTCAATGCATTCTGAGCTGATATAGCGGCGGCATGGACGGCTATGTCTTCTAGACTAAACACAATCCCTTTAAACTTTTCCATCGTCATTGGGGTTTCCCGAAGGATCCTATAAGTGCCGAACAGTTCGGGACTGAGACCGTTCTCAAAGAACTTGCGAAACTCCTCTGGATCCATATCTGGGTCATATTCGTAAAATAATGTCGTTAGGTCGTAATAATACGCTTTCACTGACTCTCCCTGTCTCTGTTTCCTCGCCAAAAGCCGTGTTTCCAAGTTACGTTTCATGTCCCCCTCCTCGAATTCTGCCAAGAACTCTTTTCTTACCGTCTCCCATTTTTTGGTATGGTTTTCGACTTTTGTTATGTATCGACGAAACCATACGTTTGCGGCCCCCTCTAAGTATGACGCTAAGTAATTGATCTTCCGACCATTGGTCCATCCATTTGCGATGGCTGTCCGCTCGTATATGTCAATAAAAGAGTGGGGATTCCCTGTACAAGGGTTAAATGTAGGCGGAGGAATAAATTGCGGTGCGGCCGGTTTGTTGGCTTCATTGATGGCCTCTATTAATGTTTGATCCGCCATTTTTACTTTCTTTTGATTCTTTTCTGACTCAGGCTCTATAAGATTCTCCTGATTGGGACTGTCCACGTTTGTCTTCTGGGTTTCTTCGTAGAGTTTTTCC